GAATTGTGCCCTGTATATGGCAATAGGCTCACCCCCTATTACATGGGACTCATGACATAAATAGTGAAAAGTGGGTGTTACATTGTACAGTGGCATAATGTGCACCTCTGCCTACCCCTTCAAGGATAAAAGGCGTGATGATGATATGTATATCATCGAAAGTATTCGTTTCTGTAAGAAATTAAAAAATATGTGTCAATTGATTTAAAATAAGACGGACATTAAAATAAAAATTAGGCATCTACCCTATTCTTCGTGTTCCTTTTAAAGATTGTAATTATTACATAATCAGACAGCTAATAACATCTTTCACCTATTTAGTATCTACATAGTAGATGTCACTGCGAATAATTATTACTAAGTAGGATTTGTTTGGTTAAATATTTTCAGTTAAAGTACGGAATCTAAAAGGTTATCCGAGTCTTTCTCAATCGTCAAATCCTAGGCCCGTATTAATAAATAGGTCTCAATCACGATGTCAAGACCCGGCATCAGTTGATACGTTCTCAAGATGCGATCAGCATCTTAATGTCGACGCTAATTAATAAACCTATATCCACACGATCTCAGGTGATACCGCGGTTGGGATCGAGTTATCAAGATTCGTTCTATCGGGTACCTAAAGGCCAATAATGGAACTGTAACTCTTTTGGTGTTACCGGCGTATAAAGGCGGCGCCGATTGCCTACAATCAGAGGTTTCATCCGCTCATTTACTGCCCTATTCTATAAAAAACTACAACACCATCGAAACCCGTACACATCAGTTTGTTGGCAATACCATCTTGATGGCTTTCATCTTTCATATTTCAGAGAAATGCAAAGCTCTAAATGAGGAGTACGTCTGCCGCTACGGCTGTGAGCTTCGCTGCGACACCCGCGCCTGTAAACGACCAAGGACTTGTGTGCTGGGCTGCCACTGCAAGATAGGGCTCCTAAGAGACACCGCCACCGGAGTTTGTGTCACCAGGGACAAATGTAGCAACAACATTGACAGGACCAATAGGACTGTTGATTTTAAGAATTAATGTAACATTATCGAGTTTTTTTAAGTATAACATTCTCACCTTACGTTTATTGCAAAGACGCTTATGTTATGTAGCTTATCATATTTGAATCAATAACAGGAGGCCTAGTTAACCCGCCCCCCTTCCCCAGTCCCTGAGTACCCAAGAATCTTCAAATTCCTAATTCCCAAAAGGTCGGTAACGCCGAATGTCGCCGCTGTAACGGTTCACCGAAAACACTCTTCAACGACGATTGGTTAAACGAACGAATTCGCCGATAGCATTCAGTATACGCTAACTATTATATTTTACAATTATGTGCAATGCAGCTAAACAATACTTGAGTCCCATGTTTAATTTTATCAGCATTGATGAATAAATAAATACCGGGGGATTCCAGTATTAAAAATAAGTCCCTAAATCACTCATTAACAATGGTACTGAGATTACCATTGAGGAGTTAGAGTTGCCAAAGTGCCAATGGACATTGGCGACGTTGATTGCTCACCAATAGGGCCCAGTTCATCCCTTACCCAATGAAAAAATTACACATTAGTATGTTTTTGTCAGTTTTTTCCACTGTCAAACACCGAGCGGTCACCGGTGACCGCAACCTATTATTCTTTAATTGTGTCTATAATGACGGTACTCAACGAGTTAAAGCAATCTTTGTATGTTTCAAAGTTACTCTAATTCTTACCGTTTAAGTAAAAATTGTGACGTTTAGGTAATGTCCTTCATATCATTTGCCATTCTTCATCCTTTACTTTTTACCTATCATTAAAAAGTAACAAGATCTGCATATACTTAGTATTTACTTATAATACATCTATTTAATTAAGAACTGCTAGACAAATTTGGATCAAATTCGGCAGGATTCCTTTTTAAAAGGGCGGCAACGCACCTGTGACTCCTTATATAGGTGTTACGGGTGTCCATGGGCGCGGGCGGCGCTGATCGCTTACCATTAGGTGATCCGTCTCCTCGTTTGCCTCCTATTTCATAAAAAAGGATAAGAATTAAGAACCTGATCACAACATTTCTATATATAAACTGTCAAACACTGAGCGGTCGCCGGTTCGGCCTGTTGTTCTTTGATTGTGTCTATAATGACGGTGCTCGACGAGTTAAGTACTTATCAAATCAAGTAATTACATTAATTAGTAAGTAGGTATTACGTAATGCAAGTAAAAAAGTGAGTTTTGTGTTAATTTTATTTGTCAGTATGAAATGTATATGTAATTATGTATGTAGGTATGTTTGTAAAGTAATTCTGGTTGTGTATTGTATTTTTTAAGATGTAATTTTTTCTCTATAAGTTTAGTTCAACAATCAATTAAGTATAAGAGAAAGAAATAGGTATATAGTATAACATACCGTCACGCCTTTTATCCCCAATTGGGTAGGCTATTAAAATTTGCATTACTTATTATGGCACTTAATGCCACTGTGCAATGTAAAACCCATTTTTCACTTTTCATGTTATGAGTCCCAAAAATACAGTATTTTATTAATAAATAACGATTTTATATTTTTATTGTGTAAAAATAAATAAAAAACCTATAAAATATAATAGTTTTATTTTTCCTTATTTTTTATACCACAGCGGTGACAAAAAAGCACACAGTCCACCTGAATCGTAACTAAATAATATGAAGGGGAAAAATTCGTAATGATACTATAATTTCTAAGATATATCATTAAAAATACTGAAAAAAAAGGGAAAAATATTAACAAAATTCGGAAATAAAATAAAATTTCCAACTTGCAAAAAAGATTCTCTCCGGCGGGGAATCGAACCCCGGTCTCCCGCGTGACAGGCGGGGATACTGACCACTATACTACCGAAGATGGTGACAGTACGACTAAAATAGGCAAGTACAACATGCAAGACATTAACAGTTCGTTTAGAAATTTTAATGTTAGAACTGTATTAATAATCTTACTTTATTTTATACATTATAAATATTGAAATAAAATAAATATGTTTACAAAATATATGTCTGTTGTGTTTTCGTTTGTTGCAAATAATTTTAAATGTTTTTGTTATTTATTCAGGGTGTTGTTGCTTTCTCGACGAACAGATTCGTGTCATTACATTGGTAGTTGTTTATAATTTGGGAAGCTTGGGTTTCATTAATGAAAATTAATGATAACAAAAACCAAAAATGAGTGAAAAACTAAAAGAATTACGTGAACGATCACAAAAACGCAAGAAGTTGCTTGCGCAAACTGTAAGTTGAGGTTTTTGTTGGGACATAACCTAAAATTATACTACGGTTTGTGGAATATTTATAAGAAGTATTTCCATGTTTTAGCTTGGTGTTTCAAGTGTGAGTGAGTTAAGGCAGGCTTTAGGAGCTACCTTAGATGTTCCGGCGAAGAAACAAGCGGTGCCTGGTGGTGGAAATGAAGGAGGTGACAAACCTACAGTCAAAGACCAACCTGATGAACTGGTTTACACTGATTCTTCTACTTTCTTGAAGGTATGTTGTTTTAGTATACGTTATACTACGTAGGTACTAAAAGTATTTAAATAATTATTGATATGATTAAAAGCTGGTAGATATGTAAAATAAAAAAAAAATGAGACAAAACTTAATAAATGGGTCTCTTAATAAATGGTTCTAAACTTGGGTCAAATCTAGTAATTGGAGTTTTACCTCCTTCCTGACGATAGTTCGATCCGATACTTGGTGCATACTCTTTATCTTGATGACCTTACACATTAAAACCATTTACTTAACATAAAAAGTATTTTTAATGTAATACTTGTTACTGATTTATTAACTGGTGATTGGTAAGTACCCTGGTCATTAGGTATATTAGAAGTGGCCATTATGCTATTATTTTTTTTAATGGGACAAGCCCGCCACTACCCCCCAAAACCGCTGCACCTCCTGTAAGCCAGGATCTACAGTAGATACAACCATGAAAACACCGCAACACTAAAGTCGGGCGCGTCGCAGAGACATGAATAACTGTCTTGGTTCCCGCAACGAAGTGAATCAGAAGATATTATAAGAGAAGAAAAAAACGATAGTTTCCACTTCCCTCGGTGAATTACTGCAGGAGGCAGAGTGAATTAAACCTAAAGGCACAAAAAAAGAGACTACAACTGGGTGAAGCCCAGTCGCCAAGCACCACGGAAATTTAACTAAAATCTAAGTTGGTCCTATGTGTGAGCTGTTATACTTGCTTCCAATAATAGGTAATAGGGCAAAAGCGCCTAAACGCACGGAAATTTACTAGTAGTTGTGAAATGGGAAAATTTTATGGGATAAGCCTGTAAACAAGCAATTGGATGATCTGATGGTAAACAATCAATGCCGCCCATTGACACCCGAAACACCAGAGGTGTTTGAAATGCGTTACTGGCCTTTTGGGATTAGGAATTTGAGAAATGTTGAGGATTCTGGGTTTGCGGTAATTGAGGAGGGTAATTGGGCCTCTGGTAATCACTCACATGACACAAAGCAAGCTTTATTTAATGTCGGTTTTCTGTGAGGCCGTGGTATCATTCCGGTCGAGCCCGCCCATTCGTGCCGAACCTTGGCTCTCTCAAACTTACCATTTTTTTGGTTATACTATATATGTGCATTTACTCACTTTTACCATTAACGATTAACCCGTTGATATCCATCCCCTAAATTTGGTCATACAAAAGTATTCTCTAAACATTAGAAATAAGGTCTATAATGTAATGTAATATTAGTGGAAAGCGGTCACCGGTGACCGCTTGGGGATTTATGGGTTAAGAAACAATATTACTGATTACATTGTCGTTACAAACTGTTTAACTAAAGAGAACAAGTTATAAGTAACATAATTTCAGTTATTTCAAACAAATACTGATTTGCTTACAATATATACTTACGTACATTTGCCACTGGGTATGCTGGAATCTAACCATAATAATGCCCAGAAGTGTATCTCCAAGCCACTGTACCAAGCATGTGATATCTTATCTTATACCCACTTATATGCAATGTAATATGCAAATATGAAAATGCAAAGATATGCAAATTTTGTTGTTTTTATTGCACAACAAATTTAAACTTATTCCTAAGAAACCATGTACAAAATATGATAAGAATCCGCTTAACCATTTCAAAGATCTAGCAAAACCAAAAACGTTACCCCAGCAAAGTCTTGAATAACTTCGCGACCGATGAAAGACCAATACAAAATAAGGCACAACATTCACTTCATCTAGACAACTAATTTTATAGTTAGAAATTATTTAAATAGTCCCATTACAAAGAAAAAGGTCTGGCTGGGGTAACGTTACCCCTGCAGGAAATTTTGTTTTTTTTTTTTAATAATTAAAAAACTATAAGGGCAACAAATTTAAAAATGTGCGCAACAATTACAGAAGCCGCACAACTTATTACATCTGACCTGGGTAACGCACACCATTCTGCTACCAACTATTCGTTTGAATTTTATAAGTCCTTTTGTATTAGACAGTCTATTTATTAAGTATTTATCGAGGAAAGTAATATGTCATGCTATGACTAATGGGAACCTAGCAGAGCGGGTGGAAACGCGTGGGAGTAGCAAGTTTAATAACTAATTAATATTCTAATTATCTCCAGGGCACACAATCATCAAATCCCCACAATGACTACTGCCAGCACTTCGTAGACACTGGTCAGAGACCGCAGAA